ATGACTCTTTTTGAATAGAAATCAATGATTGTACATGGTGAGCTCACACACATCGAAGTTAACTGTGTAAAGAGCAATGAGATTTACAACAGCAGGGAATCTGTTTAATAAGAAGAATAAGAATAAGATTGAAACATTTGCACACGTTATGTGACGCACATCTATCAATGTGTTGTCTAGATCGATAATGATATCTTTTCTTGTGTGACTCTAACACTTCATTAGAAAAGATGATGTTAGTAGATCTCTTTTTTTTTCTATCAATGACTAAATTTAAAAAGGAAATGAGAATGCCACTATTTAATTTGACACACATATATACACTAATACTGATTCGTGCCATGCAATGAAGAACATGACATCCGTAAGACGCTCATGCACATTCAATGATAATGATGATTATGATTTTAGTAAGGTAAAGGTGTGTGTGTACATGTGCGTGAGTGTGTACTTTGCGCGAGAGCGAGCAAATTCCGTTTGACAAACGTTTCCGATCTGTGAACGTTCGTATCTTCTACTTATTTGACAACGAAATGAAGTGTATGAGATGAAGGTATGAAAAGAGGAAATTGATCGTTTCCGTCAAAAGAATAACTATAAAAGTAACACACATACCGCGTTTCTTTTTACTTTACTATTTAGAACTTTTATCTTTTTTGTTTCTAATAACTAAATTAATCGTATAATATGAATAGTTTTCCTATCGGCAGTGTGTAATGATCACAACTAAATGTCTTTTTTTAGTCGTAACTATATTCTAAACACTTGTTATAATCTATCTTTAAGATAAGGAAATACTTTGCTTTTCCTGCTTTTTTTTTCCTCACACTCTTCATCTAATGATGAAGATCATCATCATTTGATGAAGAGATGCCTCTTATATATTTCTACTGACTAAATGTTGTCAAATGTAGTCTTTCTCTTGTTGCTTGTCGTCATTTCCATTCAACTGACTGATTGGACTGAGAGTATAAGACGACGAAACATTGACGCGCATGTCGTGTAAGACTATAGTCTCTTGAGAGAGTAAGGCGAACGCGGATTACCATGACAGTTCGATTGCTGATGAATGTTCTCGTGGGACAGAGAAAAAGAAAAAGAGTTCGACTAAAGAACAACAGGCGATGAAGACGACAAGTGACATGCAACAATCTTTTTTCTATTGAGATGGATAAAGAAATACACTATTGCCATTCGATACACATACACACATGTCGACACCAAATGGTTTATTCATGATTGCTTGCTTACTCTATTCTAAATGCAGATGAAAGAGATGGATAAAAAAGTACAAGAAAGGCGCAGATGATGATTATGATGATGGTTCTCATTTTTGTTTTCTTGCACGCACATGCATAGACAACAATAAATGGTTGTGCTTGATGAATGATAATAATGATAATAAATATCAAAAGATCTTTAAAGATTCATTGGGCAATACCCGATACTGATTATGGTTTCATATTTATAAAGTTTTAGAATATTGTCTTTAAATAGATGTTGACTTTTTCAAATAGTACTATGCTAACGAAAGATTAATTGTCTTTTTTTTCAATGAAAGATAATTTCTTATGAGAAAAAAAAACGGAAATTTGTGCACCATGCCTGCTTCTTTCAACTATGAAATGAATATTATATTCAGATTTTATTCAACAACTTTAGAACTGATTGGTAACAAAGAAAATAATTGTCTGTACATGTCTTCACAAAAATATATACAAAATAATTTTCATTTGCATTAAGAAAATATCCCACGTACCTGTTTTTTTTTAATTAGACCGAGTATTCATCTTCACTGATATTGTACTATATACATATTTTAATGATCTCTTCTGTGTCGATATAGGAAAATGGTTTTCCAAAGTATTTTTATGAACAGACGAAGTAATATTTTAAACTTTTAGAGAGAAAAATCCAAGACGAAGCAATTATTATTCTACTATAGGGAATAAAATAAAAATCCCTTCGGTTTTTTCTTTGGTTAGAAAATAGCTTAATAGCATAATATATTTATGCTACAGATATCATTTATGAACCACGAAAAATTCGAATACTAAAAACAATACTACTCAAAAACTATAAGTTTAAAGATCTTTTCTTTTTCGTTGGTCAGAACTTGTTAAGACAAACTAGATTTCAATTAAACTTGAATATAACATAAATATATAAGCTCAATTGTTTATTCTAATGTTTTTCGATTTAAAAAAAAAATTTTAAATCTCTTAAAAACTCTGTTTGATCTTCTCTAAATCTCAACTTTGCTACCTGACCAATATATTGTGATCCTCATTCGCTTCAAGATGATTAAGAAAAAACTAAAAACAAAGAACAAAAAAAAGCCTATATTTAATATGACTCGTCAAAATTAGACACCTGTATTGTACTTATTTTTAAGTGTGACTGGAGCTCTCTCTAAATTGCCTATCACTAAATGAGGTTGAACACCATCGATTTTTTTGAATGATGAATTTTATTCTTTAATATTTATTGTATTAACTGTTGTATTTTGGAGACTCGATTAATGTCTTCTTAAGACTTTACAAAGTTGAGAAAGTCAGAATTAATATTGACTCAGATGTCTTTTCATGGACGAGCGTAGGGCCTTGAAGAGAAACCAATAGCATTTCGAAAACATGTCAGCTTATACATTGAATACCAAAGAATAAAATATACAATTCAAAAAAATTCATGTAAAGTAATACTATTTGATAGAATTTAGTACAAGCAACAAACTAATAAATTTCATTGTTCTTCAATTTTCAAGTGTCTTGTCAATTATCGTTTGCAAGTGAAATTAGCTCTGGAAGAGTTCGAGTTATGACTCGAGTCATTGATCCCAAGAAGCAAAAGCTGATAAATCAATACTAAAATCAATGTCTTCTAACAAAAGAAGATTTAACTCGTAATATTATTTTGAAAAAAGTAAATTCATATCCATTTGTTTATAATTTTGATAGAAAAATATTCGTGTTATATCATCATTACTTGAACGTGTGTTTTCTCAAAGCAGCCTGTTAATGAGATTGCATCGTCTAGGTTTTCCACGAGCTAAAATTTAATTTTTAACATCTTTAAAATTCGATAAAGCATTAATTTAAATGGTAACACAAATAATTTTTGCTTGTAATCAGATTTAGTGTTTAGGTTTTTTATTTTTGTTTTTTTATTAAAATGATATTTTTCTTTTACTGTGATGCGGAACTGTATAAATAAAAAAGAAGAGTTTATTTCATTGTCCTTATTTTGTTGATAAATCTAGAGTAGTTTTATTATTTTATTTTATATATGACTTTTCTTTTATGTTTTCGTCATAAAAATTAGAACTGTGTATCATGTAATGAAATATTTTTTGCTAACTTTCTCCAGAAAAAATGAATAGAAAGCGACAAAGAAGTAAAAATGGTTTGACTTGCCTTGTCGTCAGTGAAATATTTTAACAGATAGTTTATCCAAGAATTTCGAATGAGAAACTGTGATAATAAACCTCGACAAATTTTTCGTTATTTATATCATACAGGGTTTAATTGTACATACACAAGCGACACTATTCCAACATGTCTTCATTTGTCAACAAATGAAAACCAATGATATTTCTCATGACATACTCGTCTTACCCATAAATTCGAATTTTGTTTAATTTCTACTTTTATATAACTAATTATGTGTGAATCTCCACAATCTTGGCAATCAACATCGTTCTGTAAGTTGTTTAAGAATTTGTTTAAAAGTTTTTTG